ATATATATTATATATATATATATATTATATTATATATATATATATATATATATATATATCTGGACCTCAGAGCCAAACAGTATTAAGTCCACTTTTTTCCTATTTTTAGGTTATTATTGTTCCTGTAGTATTTTTTCCGCCCCATTCCAATGGCAATGCGTATTAAGTCCAATTTCTTTTCGTTTTCGAGATAGGTGTAGATTATATATGTTAAGTCCTCTATTAAATAGAACCAAACAGTATTAAAGGTTTTCGATACTGTTTGGCCCTAAATGATATCCAATATGTAGGTATTAAGTCCAGATGTGAGGTTAGTTAACTGGACTTAATACTGTGTAGTTTTAGTGTACATCAGTTGTCAGAATATTAAGTCACATTATTTTGTTCGTTCAGTTAACAGAAAAAACGTGATAAAGGCGCTGTTTTAATATTTAATAAGTGTATATGGACAATATGATGACATCGAGAGGCCAAAAAATATTACAAATTACACTAGCACAAGCCCAGTGCAACGAAATATCTGAAAAACCTGTTATAACCTCACATTTGCCCGAGGAGAACGGTAATGAAATTACATGAAATGTGTATATCAAAACAAATTTTATTATTCTTTCAATTTTAGCTTTTGTTGCTGTTGCTGCTAACGCCGAAGAAGCTGAGATCGTTATGGAAATATATCCAACCACTAATAGCGTGAAGGACATCCCTCATGAAAATTTGAAAGTTCTTGCAACTGGATGTGACAATGCTACAGGGGATATTATTGCTTTGAATAATGATGTGTACAATACCATATTTTTTAGTAAAAATAATGTGCCTTCTTCCAAAAACGAAGAAATTCTGAGAGAAAATATAGACGGGTGTGAACTACCTACCAGAAAATTCACTAGAACATTTTGTTCAAAACAGTGAAAAGCATAAAAATAACGAATTCGAAACATCTTCAAAAATTATTGTTCAACATGATGACGATAGACCTTACTATAGAGCAGCTGAAGTAGGTGCAAGTGTGTTACATAAAGAAGTCTATACTGAAGCTGAAGATCCATCTTATCTACCTAATGAAAGCAGTGATACAAATGAACTAGAAGAACAAGAGGAAGAAGTAGAAATACGAGACACTAAAGGAAAGAAAAGCAAAAGAAATACTACCAATTGGAAGAAAAACATTAGAAAGCAGAAGAAAGCTGCTGGTGAAGAATATCTGTCAGCCACCAATAAGCTTATTAGAAAAAATAAAACGAGACCACCTTGTCGTGATGAATGTAGAAAGCAGTGCAAACAGAATATATCAGTTGAGAGTCGTGCTCTAATTCACTCACAATTTTGGAATGGTACCATCGAACTTGACCAAAAAAGACAATTTATAGCTAGTTGTATCGAAGAAGTTCCAGTTGAGCGTGTACGTGCTAGAACGGGATCTCGTGCTGGAAAAAGAATAACGTCGTTGAAGTATTTTTTAACTATTTTAAATATTTCACAAACTACTGTACGTAACGCATTAACGAAAAGACAACTTGGGGGAATTGTAATACCTGATCAAAGGGGTAAACCTGAACCCTCTAATAAAATATCCGCGAACATAAGAAACATTATCAGGGAGCACATACAGAAGTTCCCGTGTATAGAGTCACATTACTCCAGGAATAAATCCCAGAGGAAGTATTTAGGGAGCCATCTCAATATTTCTATAATGTATCGGTGCTTCTATGAGGATTGTGTAGAACGTCAAATTCCTAAAGAACATATTCATAAGCAGTGGTTATATAATGAAATTTTCAATTCTGAATTTAATTTAGCCTTCAAAGAGCCAGAAAATGATACATGTGACACATGTGATGGGTATGTTATCAAACTCAAAGATTCTGTATCCTTGGAAGAACGCCTTGAATTACAAACTAACTATGACTCTCATCTTTTTGATGCAGATCATCGGTACAAATTAAAGTGACAGGATAAAGAGACTTTTAAAACCGAAGCGAACACCAAAATACTTTCGGTGGATTTACAAAAATGTTTACCCACTCCTCTACTAACGAATGCTCAGAGCTTCTATTCTCTAAAGCTATGGACTTTCAATTATACTGTATATGATGCAATAGAGAAATTAGGATATTGTTTCACCTGGGATGAATCTATAGCCGGACGTGGTGGAAATGAAATGGCTTCATGCCTTCTAAAATACATTAATTTAAATGTAAAAGAATCAGTAGAAAGGATTGTTATCTGGAGTGACAACTGTCCATCACAAAATAGAAATATTCAGATGATTATGTGCTATCTTTCGATTCTTAAGCTGAAACCGTCCATAAAATGCATTGAGCATAAGTACCTTTTAAGAGGACATACCCACATGGAGGTGGATACAATTCATGCACGAATAGAAAGACAGAAGAAGGCTTCCAGTCAATTTTCGTTAATAACTCCGTGGGATTGGCAACAGCTTTTCAGACTTTGTGACAATAAATTGGAGGTAGCGGAAATGAAAACCATGGACTTTAAAAACTTTACTCAGTTATCTGAAGAATCCAGATCTTATTTTCAAAATAACAAAAAAACGATAACTAATCAAAACTTTTTAATATCTAAAGTTGTTCATATGAAGTTTTTAGCAGAAACACCTGGAGTTTTACATTTTAAAACAAATTTTAATCAAGAGAATTTTGAACAAGTTGATTTCAATAGAGCAGCCAAAAGACTACCACTCAAAGGAAAATGTAATGATAATTCTAAGGAAGTTGTTCTCCATGCCAATTTAATTTTGAAACCAATAAGAGACACACTTAAGCCCATTTCGACTAAAAAATATAATGACTTGCAGAACTTATTACAATGGGTGCCTAAAAGATTCCATGAATACTTTAAAAATCTTCCACATGGTGACCTCCAGGAGGACGACTAAAAATTACAATGATATTTGTTATGAATTTTCTGTTTTAAGTTAGTTATAATTATTCCTTTGTAACATTTAGGTCTGATTTCATTTATTTTAAAAAATAAATATTTTTGGTGTCTTTTTGCGTTTTATTATTTAATTGGAATTGATATAATGCTGTTTGTACTTTGCATTATTCTACTGTAAGTTTCTTAATTAATAATAGTATCTAGTCCATCGTATCTACAGATTAGTACGAGCCAAACAGTATTATGTAACAAAATATGGTATTAAGTCACAAGTTATTAAGTCCATTATTAGAACCAAAGAGTATTAAGTCCCAATATTAATTTAAAATTATTTAAATAAATTAAAGTAAGAGGTTAGTTATTATCAGCTTTGTTTAACTTTAAAAAACATAAATGGGAAAATAATAATCCGTGTACTCCTATTTACAATAGGAATTCGTTCGAAAAATACCATTTTTCAAAATCTTCAAATTGCTCTCCTGTAAAATTTAAAATACAGGACTTAATACCGTTTGGCTCTGAGGTCCAGATATATATATATATATATATATATATATAATATATATATATTATATATATATATATATATATATATATATATATATATATATATATATATATTTAATTGCAAGTTTAATGGACTGGTGCAAATCTAAAGTTTTTGGATGTTGACGATTTCTCTTGCTTACTTTATTTATTTCATCCTCACTCATGTTATTAATTCTTCGGAATGTCCTCTCTGAAATACGGCAAGCATCGCATGTGCGTTTCTGAACTGCCATAACGGATGTCAATGGATCAATATTTTTTTTTAATTGAAATAACTTTCGACTTTTAGAACTAAACGCCGTTCTTCTGGAGATAACACTCTACGTTTCGACTATTTTCTTCCAAATTACTCATTTTGCTTTAAAGTACCGCTTCACTACACTACTATAAAAAATAGGTACTTATATACAACTACTGTACCCTAAAAAGGACGAGGGTTGCACAACAGACGAAACAATCGAACACAAATTATTTAACAGCCAATGCTAAATAAGCATAAACACTGTATTGATTGTGATTGCAAAAACCGTTCGCATGTTTTAAATAAGGTTTTTGCTGGTTATCTATTTTGTTAAATTATTAAAACACAAAAATACAACCCACGACCATCAATTAATTTTTAACGATAAACAGAAGAGAAATATGATGACGTTCGAATTTGATCTACTTTGTCGATGACAGTGTCCTTAACAGAAATATATTTTAAACAGTATGAATCATTTTTCAATGATAGTGTGGATTTAAGAAATACATTACTAAACAAATTTTTTAAGTGTGTATAAAATCTTAACTGTCTTTTTTCCTGAGATTAAATAAAATAAAAGATAACTTGTTGAGCAGTGCTGATTGAAACAACAGAGCAGTAAAATGTTATTCATAAAGGTAGTGGAAAATATATCGCCGCTTATCTGGTCCGCTAGTAATAAAGTTGCCAGTATTTAATTGCAAAGCGGTCTTCTTAGGTGAAAAATCCTTTATCCTTTTTTACTCAAACGTAATTCTTGCATTCTTGGTTCAAATATGATTCAGTTAAAGAGAATTATCTACTAATATAACATTTTACCCGAATTTAATTTGTAAATACATTTGGAAACTACAGGATATCTGGAATTATTCATCTCCATTGTAAACGTTGATTTTGTTCAATGACTCCCTTTTCACATGTCAAAATCTAATGGAATTATTTAGACTGTTATATATCCTTTTACCCAAATGAAGAGCAGAAAATTTACTTTATTTTCATATTTTTAACTCATTTCGGGAAAAAATTAGAGTTAACACCGCAGCAGTGAACAAAAGTAGACTTAGCTCATAATGTTGCAAGAAGTATATTCGTTTCTTGGAGTACATCCATCATTATAGCGCATCAGTTCGGACGGGTTTGATTTGAGTAACTTGGATGTTAGGGAATTTTTTATGTAAATGGATATAAGGTTTTATGAAATTCCTGAGTTTTAGCTGATATTAACTTTTTACCTCCGTCGAGTTCTAGTTCTAGTAGAGAAAATATCAACATTAATAAACAGGCATGAACAATGAAGCAATTCTTGGAAATAACGCTGTATTTGATAAGAAGCTTACACAAAAGAAATATATTTTAATGAAGAATATATTGTTATTTCTTTGCACTAGAAAACACACCTTAAATAAAATGTACAACAAAAACATGAATCCAATAAAGTAAAACTATTTAAATATATTAATGTATTCATAAAAACAAAAATAATTATATTATATTTGACTGCTAAGTATATGTAAAATTATATAAATATACAACACGTCCATACAATCACATAACTTTAATGCCGGTATTGGGTATACATTTTATAAGTAATTAATTAGTAATCAGTGGCTTAATTCCTAGATCGATTGAAATCGACTACTAACGTCTGATGTCAAATGAGGTATTGGTCTTACAAAATTTCATGAACCTGACACCCATTTGGTGACGTCAATCTACGAATGAAACTATGAAACCCGACATTACTGAAATCGTTTATTTGTCTACAATGTTTTCTCATGGTCAAACTAGTTTTTGCATTAGTAAAAGAGTTAGGAGTATTGTTTTTCTTCTAACAGCCGTTTCTTAATACTTTATATTGAATTCAATATGAAATTATGAAAGTTAATGTTTTTAGGATTAATTTTTTTCGGGAATGTGCATTTCAAAGGTTCATGAAGTTTTGAAATGTCCCTAGTAAAGCTTAGACACTATTATGAATGAACTATTAATATCACGTAAAAGCCCTTAAAGTATAGATGTTTTTAAATTTATTGTAATTAAGAGTGCCCGCTTCAATTCTTGTATATACAATATATATATTATATATAAATATTTTCATGAGTTGCCAACTATGACGAGGTTGCGCGAATGTTGCATTTTTATCTTGAGTCGCCAGGCACAGGTGAAACGATTGAAAGATCGGTAAGCATTTATTAGAGTAGATATGATACTTTAATTACTGCTAAATATTGATGTCATATGCTGTTCAAACGGATTAGCCCCACTTCTGTTCTATTTACGCGACGATTTACTTAACTAAGACCCCAAAATTGCTACTTGTAAAACATGCGCACCGAAACTTCACCAAAATTGGTAGTTGCTCTAGCTAAAATTATTATCGGTTTATTCTTCACCTTATTTTGTCTGCATTGCACCTACTTGCCAAATCCATTTTCAAGTCATACTTTTTTAAAATTACATAAAAGATCCACGTTAGCAATTTTTTTGTATATATTGTCATATAAAAAGTATGCCCAGAATTATATTTACAAGGGATCTTAAGTTTAAACAATAAACAAAAGAATAATACAGTATGAACAAGCATGTGGCCAAGAGTTATTTAAAAACACGGTAGATAATACAGAGAACGGGAAATGTTGCCACGTACTTAACTTGTTCAGATAAAATGCACAAATTATTATTAACTTAATGGGATTTGACGCATATAATGAGAGAGTAAGTTGGTAACATATTTTTGACACCAAGGCTATTAGTTTTTAACTGACTTGCCAACGATGCTCTAAAGGTATTGAAGTAAATGTAAAATTTTTTTGCCAAACATGTTTTTTGCATTTGCATGCATGCCATTTTTAGTAATATGACATTAATTGACATAAATAAACGATGTAAATAAATGTTGGTGTAGAGCCAAAAATGACACTTGCTGTTAGGTGTGTCGAGTAATTTCATATTCCACGCATCTGATTCTACGAAACTTCTTATGTCTTCACCATAATCTATTAAAAACTGTTGTACAAGAATTGACGTCGACAATCTTATTTATACAATTGCATGAAGAAATTTCAAACAAAATACTTTTTTTGAGCTTTTAAATATTATTAAGTTTATTTGGAAATACTAATAAGCTCCATCACCTCATATAACGTCACGATTTTAGTAGGGCATATTAAAATTAAAAATGTTAGTGGATTATAAACTAATTTCATCTAAATTTGTCCAAATAGTAAAATAGTTTGATAGAAGTTTTTTTGTGATATATTATCAAAAAAGTTAAGTGCTAGATTTTGTTATTTCTTTAATTTTGTAAAACTACGTGTACCAAATAGTTGATGTAGAGAATGCTTGCTCGTCCAAAGACACATTTTGATATTTGCTGTCTATAAAACTTATTAGAATTGTACGAATTATTGTTTACATAATCAGTAAATATTGTGATGCTCCTGAACTTAGGTGAGCGATTGGTGAATATTAAAATAAACCTCAATATTTTAAGATTTTGTGTTCTAAAGAAATAACAGAAGATTTTCATATTGGTCTAAATGTTATTTTTAAGTATATCTCAAACTCTAAAATGTTATAGCCTAGTTTTGTGCCCTTTACGATATGATCACAAACTGTTAGTAAGTTAACAATAAGATTTAGACGAGACACCATTGGCAAATAAATACGAATATACATAAATAAAAAAACATGTTAAGATATTCTTGAGACTAATAATATTTCCTTTATCAGGCGCCAAAGTCAAAAGAATAAAATTTGGGAGGAGTTTCTGTTCTGCAAGCTGTTTTCATATATGCATTTGTTGTAATATTTAGTTAATCCCAAAAACACTATATCCCCGGCGATAATATTTATTTTTACTGTGTATGGATCGAAAGATGAAGCAATACATAGGTAGAAAATATGTACATACGTTTTCTTTATATACTAGTAGATGGGGACCGATGGCATTTGTATTTCTGTACAACCTAACCATGTCTAGTTCTGGTCTAGTCACATCTAGAACATCTATAAGGTTGCAGATTACATTAAAAAAAATCAGTTCAAGTTAAAACTTGATAACGATTAGGTTTTGTTATAATGTTCACATTTTTGATTTGATTTTTGTTGGTGAATGGATAAAAGTTGTATCAGAAAACAAGCTACAAATTTTCGATTAATCCTTACAGAAAAAAGACAGAAACAAATCACCCGGACTAGATCTCGCAGTTGAACTATATAAAGTGGCTACGATACCATAATGGCACAACAGCAGCTCATAAAAGACATATGGACACAGAAATCCCTTCGCAGTGATTGGAATACTTTGCACCATACACAAAAAAGAAGATATCTTTGAATGAAGTAAAAACTTTATTTTCATATCGGTTTCCCATGCTGGAGTTTTTTATGTAGCATGACTTAAATAACATTCTATACGATTCCAAATCACATAGACATACTGTAAAAGAATTCTATAATTTGGCGAGTTCGTAATTTAGATTTTATAATATAATGATTAGTAAAATGGAATGTTCCTACTTGTTATATTTTAATAATATGAGATGAAAAATTCTACAATAAATGACATTAACGCGCAGCGAATGATGGATCAGTGAATACCTGAAAAAATCGTCATGTGCAAATCTAGGAGACATTAGGAAAAGGAAACGACCAATAAAAATATTGATAGAAGGAATTAAATCTCAAAAATTCGAATGACTTAGAAGAGAACTAAAATAGTTGATTATCCTGTCATATTAAATATTCTCTGGTAAACAGTTACAGGTTATGAACGTTTTAATAATTTAAACCATAATAAAATTCAACAAGGATGCCTTATTATTGTTAATCTTGAGGAGATTACACTGAACACTGTAAGTACACGACAGGTATTGCTGTGTATTCGCATGACAGGAAAGTTTTTGGACATTTTTATTTATCATAAAACTATATATGGATATTGAATGTCTAATAGAATAATATTCTTCTGGACTGGTTCCTTGTGGCATCACAGCTTTTATTAAATTTGAACACGATCTCCACAGTGGACAAAATTTTTGTCAGCTTATACATACGTAAGAACACGACCACTGACACCCATTCCAATTCGTTCTTTGTCCTCGCTTGCAATTTAATTTTTTTAATGTGTAACTATATAACATTTCTACATGTAAAAATGTTTTCAGGGTTAATAAAAATAATTCATTTAAAACATGATTAGATTGAAGTCATGCACGACTTAGAGAAAAAAAGTTAATTACAGAATAAGAACAGTCTCTTCAAGCTAGATCAATATTTAAGGAATACCTAATAACATTAGGAGTATCAAACTAAAAAACCAAGAGAAGCAGTGCAAACTGATTTGGAATAGATGAAGATACACAAAGGATTGTAAAGGCAAGGGTGATGTTAATAGAATATGAATGACTGGATGTAACCTGGACTGTGGATCTAAATATTATGTAGCTGACTAAGAAACTGTAATAAATTGCTTCCCGTTTTTTTTTTATTGAGTTAATGCGTCGACAACTAATGGTCATTGGCATGGTACAGTGAATTTTTACAGTCAGGTACCTAGTGTAGTATGTGTGTAGAGTAATTGTCTTGATACTTAGCAAAGTCGACGTCATTGTCAGAGACGCTAATTGTATCCGAACGTCTGCGGTCCCTCCGGTGAGTACCGATCGCACAAGGATAGAAATTATTTTAATTCATTAATTTTTAATAAACCAAAATTTCTCCACCCAGGTGAGATAAAACTGCTTCCCGTTACTAGCTAACTTAATCCGATAGAGCCATAATTCTCAGTTCCACATGATCGAATGATGAAGCAATAGATATGACTTACATCTAATACAATATAACATTTTATGTGTTATTGTAGATTCCAAAGATATTTCGCCCACTGAAAATATGTCTCTTTCAAGGATCAGCGCCTGTGACTGAAAATTACTCATTGCAAATGAATAATTTTATCACTCAAAAAAAATCTGGAAAAAATACTGAAGGGAACCTGCATTAGTAAAATATACAAAGGAAAAACTTTATGAACTTTAAATTATTTTGCACAATGTATTCTAAGACTTAAGTATTTGGTTAAAAAGTCTACAAGATAGCTTAATCTCTTCGGACTAAAGACGGCATTTGTTTGAAATCGATATCGACCGTCGATAAGCAATATATTGTAGTAGTTAACTATATATAGCGGTAACAAAATAAATGTATATTTTCGCGCTTGTCACTTGACAGTAGAACAACTGTAATTTTCATCGCTAGTGTAAAATTGCAAGTAAACAGATATTTAGTTTAAGATAATTTAATTTTCAATCTATATACAAGAATGTTTCGTTTCTCAAATTATAGAAACGATATGATACTATTTAATCAGAATGTACTTAGAAAATTCTACCCAATGCAGAAATATAGTTGACATTTCTTAATAAGATTCTGTTATTAATATTATATGTTAAAATAAATATTTAATTCATAATATTAATTAGTTTGACCTAATGTTATAATTTAAAATCTAGTCCCAATACCAACATATTTTATTATTCAAAGCTCGGCTGGCTCAAAGTCTTAAAGGCCTATAACTAAATATTTCAATATATAAAAATTCATTATATTGAGAAGAGATTTTAGAGGCCGAGAATTTGAATAGTAAATTTCTGCGCTTAACCACATTCTTAAGTAGGATAGTTCATATAGTTAGAACAGATCCTTTGGATAAAAATTTTGTTATAATTTAGCAACATCCTGAGCCTTGTGAGCCTCCTGCACCTCCTGATCCAGGTAAAGATGGGTTAGTAGGGGAATGTTGAGGCCCTATTTTGATACCATTAGCCTGAAAAATTGTAAAACGTTTAATTAACTCAATAAACAACAAACATATAATCGTATATTATAGGACTATTCAACGACGATCATGAGTATGAGATTGTATATGAGATGTATACAAAATTTATTTCTAGACCATTCATAATACTAAAACAGAAAATTATGAGAACTAAAATTCATTATATATTGAACACATTTACGAGGGTTGACCCATTTGCATCACCACTGACTCATTTATAAATCAGAACAACAAAACTATTTATCTTCACGTCACATTTTAAATGTTAGATTCACATTAAAAATGACACATTCTGAACCTGTGACTACATGCTTATAATAGGTGCCCGAGTTCGAGAGAGACAATTACTTACATTTAAAAGAGATGACTCAACCTTATTTTTTTAGTACTCTGTCCGATTATCGAATGGCGATCATATCTTTTGAAAAGACTGATATGTTTTTGCACACACTCAGGACAAATCAAAAGTTGGAAAAGGGGAAGTATTTGTGAAGTGTATAAAAGATTTTAATTCCTAGCTGACCGCTCTCGGCTTACAAAGCCATCTTTAAATTTAAAATAAATATATAAAAAATACAGTTTTAAGATTGCAGGAGTTAATTCTTGTTCTTCTAAAGTCGCCCACAATAATTTAAAAAGAGGTTTATAATAATTGCAATTGAGAATGATTTGTGTGTTTAAGCAACAATCAGAGTTCAGCTTCATTTCTTTGAATATCTAAAGGTCTTCTAAAAGGTTCATGAGTCTAAAATTTTTATTTGATATGTAAAATTTTAATGTTTTTGGTAAGAGAAACGGAATGATTATTAAATTTAATGTGATGTCCAAAGTTTGATTTATTTGTGTTATTGAGATGTTCTTTGATTCTTTGAGCCAGAGTTCTCTTTGTTTTACCCACGTAAGTCATGTTACAATCTCTACAAGACAATTTGTAAATACCACTTTTGTTTTGTTCATCAATTGTGTCCTTAGTTTTGCTAAAAATTGACTTAATGTTGGGTTTGGTTTCAAAAATACAATTTTTGGTTTTGGTTTGGGAAATTTTTAGGTTAAAATTTGAAATCTTAGATGAGAATGAAGAAAGAGACTATGATTATATGTATGATGTTCAAGAATGTGACAATAAAAAGAGTTTAGAAATGCTAAAAGGTAGCATTTCTCAAGCAACAGATCATGATGATGAGGATTTTGATTTTAATCTGTTCTATGATATCGGAGATGATAATATTAATGGCAGACAGTTACGCAACAGAAATACACTGTCTAAGCCTGACTATTATGCTGTAGAAAAATACTGTGAAATACTTGAACATATAACTTATTAAGGTGCAATAAATTGTAAGGACTCTAGCAAGTAGCAACAAGCAATGGAAGGAGAAATAGATGCCCTTAAGTTTAATAATACATGGGACTTGGCAAAATTGCCTAATGGTGCAAAAGTGATAGACAATAAGTGGGTTTATCGTGTTAAGACTGATTCAGACCGTAATCCTGTTCGCTATAAAGCACATGGTTCAACGCGGTTTTATGCAAGAACATGGAATAAACTATGAAGACACTTTCGAGTTGAGTCATACTTGTGCGGTATGACTCAGTGCAAATTTTGTTATGGAAAGTGCAGTGGAAAAGGACTTTAGACTTGCTAATTGTGATGTAGAGACTGCATTTCTGTATGGCGACCTACCAGAATGTGTGGATATGAAGCAGCCAACTGATTTTGAATGTAAGAAATCGCAGAACTTAGTGTGTAAATTCAATAAAGTTTATATAGACTTAAGCAATGGCCAAGATACTGGAACCAGAAGTTTGTATCTTTTCTCAATAAATTTGACTTTATGACAATTAAAAAGTGTTCAATGTGTTTTTGTTGGTAATTTTGCAAATGCTGAAACTTATTTAGCAATTTATGTTGATGATGGACTTGTCATGTCAAAATCAGAAAGTGCGATTAATGCACTTAGGAAACTTTAAAGCAAATGTTGAAAGTAACTGAATTTAAATAATAAATTACTTTTTGTTGGACTTGACATTGAACAAGATCTTAGTGCGGGTACAATTGCTATTCCTTTGTCCTAAGGAAATATTTTAAATTGTAATAAATTTTTGCCATATCGTGAGGCTTTTGGTTCACTAATATTTCTAGCAACCACCAGTAGCTCAGGTATTACATTTGCAGTTAATCAGGTAAGCAGATTCATTAATGCTTGGAGTCATGAACATTGGAAAGCAGTAAAAATAAAGTTTAGATATCTGAAATATACTGCTCATTGTAAAATGATGTACATAAAAAACTACACAAATCAAGATAATAGGTTACATTGATGCAGACTATGCTGGCTGTCTAGAATCAAGAAAATCTACTAGTGGATATGATTCTATGCTAGGCAATGGCCCTATTATCTGGAAGAGCCAAAAGCAGAACATAGTGATACACGCAATGTCAGAGGCTGAATATGTGTCCATAGTTTTTGGTGTTTATGGCTTAATTTTTTTTTAAGAGATTGGAATTGATTTCTCTCCTGTCAACATATTTATTTATAACCAATCTGCCATTAAGCTAACACAGCATGGACGTATAAACATAGATGGACACAGCAATAAGATACCTTTAACACACAATGTTTTGAAGCTTGGATAGAATGTGATGCTTCCGCAATGAGCATAAGCGTACTTGAATTATTACTCGCGGGTAATTATTCAGATTTTAAAAATTGGAAGTAGTAATAATGTATAAAAACACGTTCAAAAGAATTTAAAAAAAAAACGAGAGTTTAACTATTAACAAATCACGTCTTTATAGAAAAATTAAAATACAATTTTATTTGCTTTAAAATTAATACAATAAAATATAGTTGAATTCAAGTTAATTTTTAATAGGTATCAAAATAATGCTACAATAAAAAATCTTTATGTTTTTAAATTTCTCCTAAATTTGCTACCAAAATAGTTCGATCGTCAATATTATTTGGAAACCTACATACAAAAATAAATGAGTTTTATTCATTTCACTAATTTATTTGCATCCATGAGAAATATTAGATTAAAAAGGTACTAAATAGATCTTTTTTAATCAGATGATGTCAACTTACAATTTAAAAATGTCTACTAATTTCATGAACTTATATATCTTATTTAATACATTAATGAACATGAATAAACCCAATGGTACGCCTATTAAAATGTAAACAAACACGCTTCCTCATTTCCTCATCTTAAATAATGTAAATTGTATGTACTTACAAATGAGATGATACACTACGTGGACAAAGATCCGCATATTCCAGTCAAATGTCATGTCTGTACTACTTTACGGATGTGAAACCTGGAAAGCGACAAAAACCCTTACAGACAAACTGCAGGTCTTTGTTAATAAATGTCTACGAAGAATTGTTCGTATTTTCTGGCCTAACATCATCAGAAACGAAGACTTACTACACCTGACCAAACAAAAGAGGGTAGTAAATGAAATAAAGTCCAGAAAGTGGGGTTGGATCGGTCACACACTCCGAAAAAATAACTCCAGTATTGCAAAGACTGCCCTAGAGTGGAATCCCCAAGGAAAACGAAAAAAAGGTCGCCCAGTACAAACTTGGAGAAGATCCATCATGGACGAGATAAGAAAACAAGGAAAGTCTTGGAATGAGGTGAAGGCCTTAGCGCAAAATAGAACCCGATGGCGCGTTTTCACTGAAGCTCTATGCTCCACTTAGGAGTTCAAGAACCTTATATATATATATATATATATATATATATATATATATATATATACAAATGAAATGAGAGATCGGGATGTAAATATTTCGTTTATTTTATTTCACTTTTCACAAATATCACTCAAAATACAGCCAAAATATCGAAAAACAACTTTTACTAAAAAGTAAACAAACATGGAACAGCATTTGAAGTTTGACGTAGATCCATAAGACAGATAAATGTAAACAACCGTTGCCATTTATAAATAGTTTTCAGTGCTTCTACATATAAAATAATTGATTGATATCTATTATACGCTATTATTAAATAATGATAATGCACACTATGTGCACACTTTATATTTTGATTACAATTAAATATATTAATCTAACCAATAAATTATTATTTTGGTTTGATAGCACCTGTAGAGTATAAAATACGGAGTATATTTTCAGCGACTCGCGAATAAGAAATTTTAAAACAAAACGTGACAACAATTGAAGGTGCTGAGAATGTGACCTATTCAAATAATTTTGACTTCACAATTTTATGTAAATAACTGAGTCCATCTGTGTTTATACGTCCATGTAACACAGGTACAAGAATTTCATAGCAGAACAAAATATATTGATATTAAGGTTCACTTTGTTCGAGATAAGTGTGAAAACAAGAATATATGTGTAATCTATGTCAATTCAAGCAATCAGTTAGCCGATTTGTTCTTAGGTCTAGGTCTTTGTTTTTCTGTTTGTTGTCAAATCTTGAAAAAGTGAGAGTATTAGAGTAAGCTCTTGACTTAATGTAATATTAAAGATTTGAAAAGAGAAGAATTTTAATTTGTAAATTATCTGTAAACTGTTAGATATAAGCACATGTTTTGTGAATATTCTCAGGCTTATTATTCAATAAATTCTTTACTAATCGATCGTCGGGTTGTATTATTCATCAATTACTATAAAAAATATTTGTATTGTCGAATGATTATGTAAATTGATTATATATCTAGCTAATTAATTTTAACTTACGTTCCTCACATCAGTATAATTTGGAACTTCTTACCTCATTGTTTATGTCGAAAACACCTTCTTGTATCTTTTCGTATATTTCTTTGGCAGTATTAATAAAAGCTTCCTCAACATTAGCAGCTGTTTTGGCAGAAGTTTCCATAAAAACTAGACCATGTTCACGGGCAAAAGCATCACCTTCTTCTTTCATAACTTCTCTCCTACTTTCTAGATCACTAAAAAAATATCACTTGATAACATGACGCAAATTATTGCAACGATGATAAAATTTGACTGATTTGAAATTTACTCTAAAACTTTAATTGCAACATGTAGCTTCATCGCTGAACTAATAATCTCAGCTTTAAATAAATGAAAACTGTAAAAATACATAGCTGAAACTGTCTTGTTTTCTCTGTTTTATTTCTGTTAGCTAGTATAATATACGTTTATTTAAATCGATAGCTATTACATTAATTTACAATTTCAGTTTACTTACAATAAAATAAACGTAAAAAAGTCTTAAAATCATAAACATTCCTGTTGACTTAATCTGTCTAATATTGACAGGTTTATGTTTATTGTTTTTTTTACAAATCATTATTTTATTTTTACAATCTAATTTCTATATTTTTTTTTATCTAGTATAATTTAAATTTATTAAATTGTTACACAACTCCCTATTTTCTTTTACCTAAACAGTAACAATTTTTTTATACAAATAAAATTTTTTAATATTTTTATAATTTATGGGCAGGAGCAAAATATTTAATTGGCCGTTTCGTGATTGTTTCTAAAGTGTGAAGACATTCGACATTCAATTTTCTTCTTGTATCATAATTTGACACTTTTACTTTAAGAGGAATTTTATCTTTATGAATATTTTTAAGTAGCTCTAAGCAGTACAATTACCGAACATCAAGAACCTGAGTTTCATGAACAAGTTGTTCTGAAGGATATGTTTGTCGTTTCCATATATTCATTTAAGAAACCATTTCTGAGTATTTTGAAGATCGAAGATCGCCAGATGGCAATCATCTACTCCACCTCATCCTAAAATCCTATATACAAGATGAGATTGCACTAGAGATAGGTAAAGCATTTTAAGCTGTTCAATACCCAAAAACTATTTTAAATAGCGGAATTCGAATTGGTAGCAGTCTTCGTATTTTTCTTATAATATTTTTTTATTTATAAGTCCTATTTAAGGTGCCTGTCAATTAAAACTCCTAAATATTTTATGTACTCTGCTTTAAATATTTGTTGTTTTTTATATTTATTTTTAATGAATTAACAGTTGGCAGAGAATTTTTATATGTATATTGCAAAAGGTATATATTTATACCTTTTGCATAATTTAATGTAAGTTTGTTTATTTGCGGTGTCATCAGCAAAACTAATTATGTTTTCGACAGTTTTTACTTTGAGCATGTCATTAACATAGAGTGTAAAAAGTAGAGGGGCTAAAACGGTGCCTTGCGGTACGCCATAATTAATTACTTCTGGATCACTTTTGATACCATTAATTTCTACAAATTGTTTTCTGTCAGTTAAGTAACTTTTTAGTAATGTCAACACCTTTCCTCTCAGAACATACTTCTCAAGTTTTTTCAACAAGATCTCGTGAGATATCGTGTCAAACGCCTTAGAGAAATCGAAGAATATACATAAACTATGTTTACTAGACTCAAAAGCTTTTGATATTTGTGATGTTAGTTTAAAAATAGCATCTTGTGTCGATTTTTTCTCTAAAACCGTATTGGCAATCCGATATTATGCTAAATCTATAAAAAAAAACCTAATCTGTTTTTTTTAATTTTTCAAATATTTTGGAAAAAACAGATAAAGAGACTGGTCTGTAGTTACCTACGTCTTCTTTATTTCCTGTGCATTAATGAGGAAAGTTAAAGGGGTAATAATTTCTCCCTTAATTTGTTTGATGGTTTCTGTCTTGATACTATCCCAGCCAGAAGATTTTTTGTGTTTTAAAGATTGTATTGCGTTTACCACTTCTTTTTGCTCAACGAGATACAAGAACATGATGCTTTCTATCATATCTATTTCCTCAATCTGGTCATTACAAATGGGTATTTTTTGTGGATATCTTTGCCTTAATGTACTGTAATGTGTATTAAATTTATTGACAATTTCTTTTCTATCAGTTATTGTTTCTCCTATTTTGGTTTTAACCGATTCAATTTTTGTATTTCCTTTTATTTTTTCGCACAATGATGATTCCAAAGTGATGAAGAAGAGGTCTTATATTTTCAACTCTTTGTTTTGTATAATTTCTTTTTGCAGTTTTAACTAAAAGTCTTAATTTATTTTTATAATATGTATATCGTTGTTTTTTTAAGTTATCTGAGGGATCTTGGATTAGCCGATCATATAATCTATGTTTTTCATGTACAGACTTTAGAAGTCCCTCTGTCATCCAATATTTTTTAAAAGTGGTTTTTAGATCATTTCTTTTTAAAATAATTGTATTTTTGTTTATTAAATTTAAAACTTTGTCAATGAAATGTTTTACCGCTTCATTTTTATTTGTTTTATTGTAAATATTCAACCACTTTTCCTGTTTCAAATTGTTTTTTAGATTTTTATAGTTGATGTGCTTCTTTGTTGATATTTTGTGCTCTTTGGTTTTGGTTAGACTAGGAATGGAAACTGAGATTGGATATCTGAAGTAGTATTATTTTCAAATATAAATGAAGTTATGTTAGTGTAATCAGCAGGTCTTTTTATAAAGACCTGGTCTATACAAGTTTGACTTCTAGGTCTAGTTGTTTTATTTATATAAGACAAGAAATTTTGTGAAGATACAATATTTTGGTATTCTTCAGTGTGATCTAGATCTTCAAACAAATTAATAATAATATCACCAACTAATATATGAAAAGACATTCGTTTTTTTACTTATGAAGGATTGATGAAAATCCTGAATACAACTATTTATCCGTAAAATAGTTTTGAAACACAATTATCAGATGTCGCTATTGCGTCCATATCGAAGCCATTTTAGTGTTGCTTCTTAAAAGACAGAGAAGATTTATTTTTCACGTTGAGAACGCCTATGAATAACTGTTCTGATGAGATATATTAGGTCAAAATACGTATCAACAGATACATAGACGCTTTGTACGTGAAATCAAATCTTTGCTGTCTTTTTCTTTTTAAAACTATTTATGTTTACTGTCGGTGATTTATAGAGAGCGCTCAAACAGATTTTTGTTTTATTAAAATTAGTAAGCAAAAAACTATTTGCCCCATTGGTCACCCAAAGTATGATTAAGATTTTTAAGATTTGTAATAGTAAATTAGAACAGTTTTGAAAAGGGTAGTTCCAACAAAAAAGTTATACCTTTTGTTTCCGATCAACATTATGACCATATTTGAATTCGAGTGTTGCCTTGCATCATCTAACCATGTAGTAAGATGATTAAATGTTTCCCTTCTAGTAATATCGTAGACCAGAAGTGCGCCTGCAGCTCCTCTGTAATACGATCTCGTAATGGACCTAAACGCCTCCTGTCCAGCTGTGTCCCAGATCTGTAGCTTGATTTGTTTGCTATCAATTGTGATCATTCGAGCTCCAAACTCCACACCAATAGTTAGATCATGAACCGGTTGAAAGCGTTTGTCGGTAAATTGTAGTAACAGACATGATTTACCCACACCTAAAAAATAACAAAATATTAAGGAAAGCCGATACTTTGTATTGCCTGTAAGTCATATTAGTTTATTTAAAACACTCGTGAAAATCCAAACATGATATGGTATTTTATTATTATATAAATGCCAATATATTCTTAACTAAGGTTTGTACATTCTAATCTTTCAACCAGTTGTAAGCCCCCTTACGATGCTTGCTTTTTAGGCAGGACTACATGTTTAATTTATTTACTATAAGTATATCTAATTTTGTGAGTCTTGTGTTTCCACAAATATTAGTAAAAATTATATTAAAGTTAAAAATTATATTAAAATTCATTACAAGTATTAGTTTCATAAATCAGCTTCCAGTAATGAAAGCGCTTCAGAAATTTGCTCATATCTTATTTATCCATATTCACGGGATGTTCCCATTTTTACAAAAATGTAACAAAAATAGAATATCCTAGTTATACCAAAAAACTAAAAATTAAATATTAAATAATTACTAAATAATTTTAAGCAAATGATTAAATTAAAACAAATTAAATTTTGCTGAAAATCTAATTCAAAATGAAATGAATTCTCCAAGTTAAAGGTCACTCATCTTTGAACCCTAATATACTCAGTCAAAGATTGCTTAAATCTTACAGATTTAACCCTTCACTGCATCATGTTGTTTAAAAACAACATACTAAAAATAAACATTTATTTCAATAGCAGATACAGATGAATCAGTTTGTACATGACGTTGTTCTCTAACAATGCAGTATTAATCAGCGTAAGTAGACTTAACAATCATAGATGTTGTTGGTTACCAATATGTCGTCTTCTTAGTTAGGTAGTGTGTGTACACGATTAGACACTGACACGTGCTTCAGATTGTTTTTGTTAGTTTTACCAAAGTAATTTGAGTAAATATATTTTACTTGTTATTAAGGTAAGTAAAATTCATGATGTCTTGCGGTATACAGTCCTGCGCATATTTTGCTCATGTTTGTTGTTGTTGCTGTTTACAAATAGCATCATGCATATCTAGTGAATTTTATCTTTTAGATAAAACATCATGAATGGGAAAGATAAAAGGCCACTGACTGACAAGGAACTTGCCGATATAACAGATAGGCTTTGGGATAGCGAAGATGGGTTTGATGATGATGATGATATTGTCGATCCAGATTTCTTACCCGACGAAAAAATTGGTACATATAATGAGGATTCTGAACCAGTGAACGAAATGGATGAGAATGCTGTAGACACTAATATACTTAATAGCACTGTACACGAGGAGCCCCCAGAAACCTTGGTTTACTCCAAGGGCAAAGGTATACTTATTTTACAATCAATTTGTGATCAAAAATACTAGATTTTTTTTATTTTTAGACATTATATGGAGAGAAAAAATTGAACTTATCCGAACAGCAACTAAAATTTAGAGGAAATCAGAGTCTTCCAAATCATATCCTGCAACTAGAAAGTCCTTATGAATATTTTAATTTATTCTTCATAGATAGAGTTTTAGACAAAATTGTGGAGGAGTCAAATTTATATGCCATACAGCAGAATCCTAACAAACCACTGAATATAACACGAAGTGACGTAAAGCAGTTTATTTGAATTACAATATATATGTCCCTCCCTTGTTCATTTGCCCAATACAAGGGCATATTGGTCAGAAGAAATTAGCTTTGAAAAAATAAAAAGCGCTATGTCAGTCAACAGGTACAAACAAATCACACAAATTTTACATTTCAATAATAACGAGAATGCCTTATCCCGTGACAATCTAAACTATGATAGAGTTTATAAAATTAGACCAATAATTGACCAACTCAATGAAGCATTTTCAAACGGAATTCCATTGGAACAATATCTGTTGGTCGATGAGAGAATTTGTTCTACCAAAGCTAGGCACTATATTAACCAGTACATACCAAACAAGCCACATAAATGGGGTTTTAAATTTTTTGTCTTATGCAGTATCTCTAGATATGCGTACCGTATATAATTATATACAGGAGAAGAGAATGATCCAAAAACGAGACCTGCTTTTGAACCTGACCTCAAAGCAACTGCAAATGTTGTGGTGAGGTTGGCTAGAATTATTCCTAGAAATATGAGTCACAGGCTTTGTTTTGACAATTATTACTCTTCTATACCTCTCTTTGTATATCTTTGCAAACAAGGTATCCACAGTTTATGAACCGTACGAAGGAATAGGTATCCAAATTGTAAGCTTCCGGATGAAACGGGTATGAAAAATGAAGAAAGGGGAACTAATATAGAGTTTGTTGGTACTTGCGATGGTGTGGAAATAAGTAGCTTAGTGTGGAAAGATAACAAATTAGTCACGTTTCTATCGACTTTCGCTTGCGAAGTTCCTAAAACTACTGCCAAGAGATATGACAAGAAAGAAAAGAGAACAAAAGAAGTTGTCCATATATTGTACAAGAGTACAACCGTCATATGGGCGATGTTGATTTGTTGGACAGCAATATGACGAAATAAAATTAGTCTAAGGAGTAAAAAATAGTATTTTAGAATATTTTACCATCTCTAGATCTAACCGTTTCTAACAGTTGGATTTTTTACAAGAATTCAGCTGAACATAGAACTGGGGTGAAGCCTAAAGAAGAAAAAAGGCCCAGCACAGGTTATGCCAGTAAAGAATGATCGAATGGATGGAATTCATCATTGGCCTATATGGTCCGAAATAGTATATTCCGAAATTTATTCTTCTTCGCGTGCCATATCAGATTTATCCGACGTTGGCTATCACCATTGCGAAGGCTTCTCGATCTTCTGCAATATGGAATAATTGTCCTGCATTTGGTATCTGAGTCCATTCACGAATGTTTTTTAACCAAACAACTTGTTTTCTTCCTACACCTCTACGGCCCTGTCTTTTGCCTTTAAGGATCAGTTGTAAAATTTTATATCGACTTCCCCTTACTATATGTCTCAGATAAGACATTTTTTAATGTTTAACAGTCTTTAGCAGTTCTATGTCTTTGTTGACGCTCCTTAGTACTTCTTCATTAGTTTTTCTTGATGTCCAAGGTATTTTCAGCATTCGTCTGTGAACCCACATTTCCAATGATTCAATTTTGTTCATGATCGATACTTTTAGCGTTCACACTTCTGCACTATACAAAAGTACAGACCAAACATAGCACTTAACCATTCTTTGCCTTAGTTCTAAACTGAGATGGCTATTGCAAATAAATGACTTCAGTTTCATAAAAGTAGTTTTAGTTTTTTTAGTATTTAGTTCATTGCTATTCTACGTTTTATTTCTATGTCTGAATCTGGATCTGAAATTTAGATTTTTCCAAAATAAAAAAAAAATATTTTTTCCCGCAAAAATATCTAAAATCCAGTCTGCAAACTTTTTTGTAACAAAAAATAAAAAATCATACAGTGAAGGGTTAAAGTAATTTCCCAGTGTCTGATTCTAGGAGAATCTGCCATAGTTTGTCTGATAGTGTTTTATAGAGAACAAATTCATGTCTATAAGAATTCTAGTACTATATCTAAAGTTGATGACTGCACTGAAAATTAGTGAATATTACTGAACTATTTAGCCTTGAGCTTAGTTCACCAAAGATATGTTCTGTAAGTTTAATATACATATTTGCATAATTTGAACGATGTGTATTTGAAGGAGATCATTAAAGACGATAGGCTCGCAACAACTTGTAAGATTGCTGATTACCTAGGGGACTGCTAAGAATAGATAGTGTAGGCTACAAGGAACAAGGATTTGGACAACTACCATCAGAGAGATAGTTTTACTATTCATCAGTTTTTCTCTTTATTAACAACACAATTTTTACAAATGCTTTAGAAAAGATAGGAACATTTTGATCAGGAGATTTAGAACAACAATTTTGATTTGAGATTTTAATTTACATTGTATGTACCATTAATTTTGAAGGTTCACGTAAGTAGAACAAAATTTTGATAATCATTATATGAGATATTTTTATTGAAGATATTTGAGTGTGAATTTTACTTCAATATATTTTTATTTCAATATATAATGTATCATATATGTTTTTTATTATTCCGGTATTCTTTGGACCTTACCTATCATATGTAAAGCATAGATATTGAAGCACGAGTATAACCCTGAGATAAGAGAACTAAATAGTGTGATAGAATAATAATTGCATCACTTAAATACGTTTAATTGATTAATTAATTGCTTGGCGCACCTCAGACTTATATACTATAGAAGCATAAGACAGGATGCTACGGACGAAAGCAATATATAAAATTTTATATGTGGGTACCGAAAGATCTCGAGAGTTTCTTGTGACAGAACCTAGATTGCGGTATGCTTTATTTGACAAGTTGTTGATGTGAGGGATAAATAACAAGGAACTGTCAAATAGCACCTCCAAATCTCTTACTTAAGTCACTCTTAAGAGAAGGCTTGTATTACTGTGATAATCAAACACATTATTTTTAGATTTGCTAAAGGATATAACAAAACAGTTGTCTTTATTCAACTGGAGTCCATTGGAAAGAGACCAATTATATAGGGAGGTCAGGTCTTCTTGAATCTTTAGACATTCAGATAGGTTTGAAACTTTCATCAGCATCCGTATCAGGTCATCATAAAATAGTAAAAAATGACAAAACTGTATTATCTCAGAAATATTATAATAAATAAGTTAAAAGGAAGAGGACCCACATAGGAACTTTGGGGTCCCCTGAACTGACCAAGGTAGGAATCGAAAGTGAACCCTTTATAAAAACAAACTGAACTCTTTCCTTTTCTAAACAAATAAACCACTCAGAAAAGCCAATACATCTTAATTTAAAGATAAGCAAAGAATGGATTACTGTGTCAAAGGCCTTAGGGAAATCGATATAAATGGAATCCACTTGATATCCACCCTCGAAAGTTCTGTCAATGTAGTCATGACACAAAAGATTTGTTACCCCAAGATTTACCCTGCCTAATGCCTAATTTACCCTGCCAATGTTGCTCATTAATCAAGAGATTTCTACAATACCA